AAAAAAAATATATATATATATATATATATATATATATAACAAATGAAGTAAAATAAAGTGTGATTAGTCGTATAAATATGCGTTAAAAAAATCAAAAATATTGAAGAACGATAGATTTACAGTGTTAGTAACTGGAGTTGCATCATCACAGTCTGTGAAAAGTCTGGAAAAAATTATTGAATTATTTAAAAAACGGAGATGTAAAAATGATGGAATAGAGCATGAATAAAAACAAAATGAAATCTAAATGTTCAGTCAAAAACTTAAACATTTCAAACGTGTTTCATATTTTTGTTTGTTGAAGTACTAAAATTCTGGAAAAAAAATAAAGCTAAATAGAAATATTTCGAAGTAACTAAAACTAATAAAAATGACAAAGCTCATAACAAAATTACTAAAACAAACTAAAATTAAAGTGAAATCTAAAAATATATAAAAAGCTTGTTTTTATATAAATATTTGAATGTATGTTTTATATACATATTTACATGTCTGTATATCTAGTCAAACAAATTCTGTTTGAATTATTGGTATTTAAAATGGCAGAACTTTTTGTAAAAAACAAATTTCCATTCATGCTAAAACAATCTCATTTGTTTAAACGTTTTAATTAAGAAAACAAACAATTAATTATTCTGCTTTAATTCCTTCTCCATCTTACTTATATATCTCAAAATTGATCTGTCATTTTAAATGAAGAGAATAAAGAGAAAGTGTATTAAATTGTTATAATATAAACTCACTCTGAGAGGGCCAGAATGAGGTATGAGAGCGTCAGTAGGCCTTTGACTCTGGGAGGACATGTCGAGTTAAAAAGTGATTCGACTGGATCTTCTGCGTGGCTACACAGCACTTGTGGTCAAATCTTAGAGAGCGTCCCCCTCTCGCTAATCTGCCACACTTCACTGGCTGTGGAAATGATTAAATCTGTCTAAAGATTATACTTAACAGCTGTGGTGTGTTAACCACAGTTGCAACCATAGTTATAGGTGCTTGCTTTATGGTGTCTGGTTTTGTATGTTTGTTTTCATATTTAATAATGGGTTGAAAATTTCAGAACAAATTCTTGTTCAGATAAAGCCCGTATAAAGTTGCATAAAGTTACATTAATGTTAGTATGATGGAAATTATTTTACAGATGCAAACATTTGACCACATTTGACCAAAGTTGCTAAAACAACAAAGTCTATAAAATCATAAATACAATTCTGTAGAACATTGAAACCATTGAAAACAAATTTCATTCAAAATATTTTGTCATTAAATCCTCATTTGTTTATACTGTAGGTGCTTTTTTCTGCTGTTTCAAACTTATAAACGTGTTTTCCCCTGAAGATACTTTATGCAGTTTTATTTATTTTATTTTTTTAAGTCAAAACCAAGAAGTTATGATACTCATGATTTATTTTCAAGAAAAACTGACATATCCTGGGAGTTTCTTTATGATTTGATGTTTGTTTGTTTGCTTGCGTTTTGTTTTTGTTTGCACTTTTTTGCATTATTTAAGAAAAAAGTTGATTTAAAATATTTTGTCCTAAAAATCACCAAATTCTGTTGATTAGCATATGCTAATGATATGCTAACGTCAGTGTTATTTATATACTATTATAGTATTTATTCATCTTTTGAATTTATTTCTTTTTTTTTTGTTATTTTCAGTTTTCATTTTAGTATTAGTAATTTTGTTATGTGCTTTTGTAATTTTTTATCGTTTTTTAAATATATTTCCTTTTAGCTTTATTTTTATTCCAGTTTTTAGTTTTAGTAATTTTGGTACTTGTTTTATTTCACTTAGTTGTTAGGAAAATTCAAAATGTAATTTTTAGACTCTTATACTAAATGATACTAAACAAAGGAGGCCCTTCATAAAGATGTTGCCATTTATAATTATGTAATTAATCTTAAATTTTTCTACTTACGTGTACTGAATTCGATGTCTAAATGTCTAAATATATTTCCACCAGGTGAACCACGTGCGGACGCGAGATTTCGACTGCTGCTTAGCTGTGCCCCTCATCACAGAGGCCGGAGACAAACTTGAGCTGGTGATTAGCCGAAACCCATTAGCACAGCTGGGTGTTGCCCAGCCCCACGACTGCCATCCACACTTCAACCCCGTAGGCCATTCCCGTGAGCACCAGACCAGCACGCTAGACCTGTGACCACTGGGTAACTCAGACTACGACCAAACCGGAGCATTTGTTGCAACAGACTGTCAGAAGGAGCCATGATTCACTGGTTTCATTACAAAACTCAAATGAACTGAAATATCCAGATTATAAGGAGTGATCGTGGAAACTGTACAACAAAAGATTTGAGCCAGTTTTCAGTACAAAACTCGAAAGGATCTGAGCCAGTTTTTTAAAAACAGAACAAAACAAAACAAAAATATTGGACTACTACAATGCATACACCATACATGGACTTCGCCCATCAAAACATTTTTTTTTCTTTACTATGGAGCCTAGCACATGATATGGGGGGAAAATATTAATATAATGGCCACAAAATAAGAATTCATTCTCATGATTTATTTATTCTCCAAGTTTTCGTAAATCGTGGCCACGTTGTACTGATTCATTCCCTTGTTTTAGTAAATTGTGGCCACATTGTACCGATTTGTTTCTTTGTTTTTGTAAATCGTTGTCACATTGTACTGATTTTTTTTCTCGTTTTAGTAAATTGTGGACATGCTCTACTGATTCATTCCCTTGTTTTAGTAAATTGTGGCCACATTGTACTAATTCGTTCCTTCGTTTTTGTAAATTGTAATCACATTGTACTGATTTGTTTCCTCGTTTTAGTAAATCTTGGCCACGTTGTACTGATTCATTCCCTTGTTTTAGTAAACTGTGGCCATGTTCTACTGATTCATTCCCTCGTTTTAGTAAATCGTGGCAACGTTGTACTGATTCGTTCCCTCGTTTTAGTAAATCGTAGTCGCATTGTATTGATTCATTCCCTCGTTTCTGTAAATCATACTTCCATTGTACTGATTCGTTCCCCCATTTTAGTAAATCATGGCGATGTTGTACTGATTCGTTCCCTCATTTTAGTAAATCGTAGTCACATTGTATTGATTCATTCCCTCGTTTCTGTAAATCATACTCCCATTGTACTGATTCGTTCCCCCAATTTAGTAAATCGTGGTGACGTTGTACTGATTCGTTCCCTCGTTTTAGTCAATCGTAGTCACGTTGTACTGATTTATTCCCTCGTTTCTGTAAATCATACTCGCATTGTACTGATTCGTTCCCTCGTTTTAGTAAATCATGGCCACGTTGTACTGATTCGTTACCTCTTTTTCATAAATCATGGTCACGTTGTACTGATTCGTCCCTACGTTTTAGTAAATCGTGGCCATGTTTTACCAATTTGTTCCCTCATTTTAGACATGTGGTACTATTTCTTTCCCTCATTTTAGTAAATCATGGCCACGTTGTACTGATTCTTTCCATTGTTTTAGCAAAATCATGGCCACTTCAAACTGATTTGTTCCCTTGTTTTAGTTAACCGTGGTTACGTTCTACTGATTCATTCCCTTGTTTTTTTAAACCATGGTCACATAGTACTGATTCATTTTCTTGTTTTAGTAAGTCATGGCCACGTAGTACTAATTAATTCCCTTGTTTTGGTAAACCGTGGTCTAAACGAAGGTATGAATTAGTGTAATATGACTGCATTCAGCTAAAATGAGGAAACATTTAATTGAATTCTTAATTTGTGGCCAAGATGTAGATTTTTTCCCCTTACAGTTTTTTTTTTTTTTTCTTTTCTTTTTTCTTTTCTTTTCTTTTCTTTTCTTTTGTTTGGTTTTATTTTATTTAAAATTTTTGTTTAGATTTATTTATTTTTTTCGGATAAAAACATAATGTGTCCAAATGTTTACAAAAAAGAAAAATAATTCTGCTTTTGATGTAGATCGCCATTAGAAGTAAACATTTTTAAATGTTTCTTATGTTTCCAATTTCTAGTAGCAAGTGTTTTTACTTCCAAAACAAACTACAAATTAAGTTTTATTTTTGTTTTAGTCCTGGATGAGTCACTGTATGAATACCTTCAGGCACACATTGTCCTTTCTCACAAACACATACATTACTACTATAAACAGACAAAACACCGCCATTCTTTGTTCCCTAAATGCATAAACATTATAGACTCCCTACAAATAAACTTAAATTTGCCTCTGTGTCAGACACAAACATACACACAAGCGCTTCAGGCCATGAATGCCATGACAACAATGCACATGGTGACTGCCTGCTGCTCTAAAACTAAAGTTGCTGTTTGATATTGCCAACAAAGACTTCACAACCTCTCTGTCAACAACACGTTTCTTATTTCCCAGGAGTATGATGCATTTTTCATGAATAGGGTGTATTTTAGTGTGCCATTACTTTTTTATTGCAATAGACAGAAAATCACATGATATACATATATATATATATATATATCTCTCTCTCAATCATGAGGTTGATTAGATATGTTACATAAAATATTATATAACACAAAATGGCACGTACATGGTTTTAAACACATCAGTCATTTTTCATTTAAAATATTTGTTTTGTCATGTCATGTCATGTTATTTTGCACAATATGCTACATTTTATTTTTTTGTACAATTAATTGTAGTCAAAATAATTTTGAATATTAACAAATTTTATCCACCAGAATATTTAGCTTTGTCCTGCATTTTGTGTGCAACCCTGTTACTTTATGAATTCTTAAATATCAAAAAACATACATTTCCTTCAAATATTAGAATGTGAAATTATTGGACACCTTTGGCAAGGCAGAAAAAAAGTAAGTATTACATAAATACTAGTGTTAATCAAGCTTAATCGTTGAACTGTTATTGTAACAAAAATTATCAAGCAAATATAATATTTTGAATTTAAATTATTTGTCAAATATGGTTATCAGTAACTACAAACCAACATTTGATGCCAAACTAGTTGGCCTCTACTGAGTGATGGCTTAATTTGGCTACATTTTAAAAACAGGGTTGAAATAATTGCAGACCTGATATAAAATGGCTAGAAAATAAAGCATGGAAATTTGTCTGAAATTAATAATCAACATTTTCTGAAGGAAAGTTACTTATTTTGTATGTATTTTTACCCTATTTGTGCAAAGTGCATTTGCTCAAGATACTTTCATGAGAAACAAGAAGGTTTGAGAATGACATGCACACACTTAATTTGTGACACCTTTTTAGTTAGCAGTACATACTTCCATTACCTACACCCTCAAACGGACACATGTACTCTCATGCAGCAGTAAAATGGAGGTTTGACATGTCCTGACTTCATTGACTTGACTTCTTGAAAAGCTTATCGTAGTAAGTACTGTGGTAGCCCTACCTTTTCTCTCCACATACCTCTCTTGATCTTTTAACACCAAACTGCTGCCGCAACGTAGCATTCGCTCCAGTCCCCACAAACGTCCGGGCCTCAAGGGCACGTTCTTTCACGGTAGACTGTCGGCAGGCTGCCATTTGCCACCACTGGCCAAATATTACAAATGTTTCTGCCACAGGCTATTTCAGACACATCAGTTCAGGAGCATTTGTAAAGCCATCACATCGTTAACTCATGTTCCGCACTTGTGGGGCACCCAGGTTCTACAAAGGTCACGTCTCTGTGGACATGTGCGGCCCCCCACAGTCTATTAACCTCCACTAAACATTTATCTAGTGTTTCACAAATGTGAGATTTATGGTCTTGACAACTGAAAGGGGAACTCTGTCGTCTGTCGTGTTGCGTGTTTGGATCATGGAATATTCTGCTGCTATGAGAACCGTTTCACCCCACAAGACAATTCTTTTGTGGAACATTTGATGTGAACAACTGGTTAAAGCGGTTAAAGTAAACTTGTTTGAGGGTGTGTCTGATCCCTTGTGTGTGTTTGTAGGCTTGAGATGTATGGAATCTGATGTTTTTGAAGTTTCTCGAAAACCATCGTTAGAATGCCTCCTGACTAGGTTTGGGAATCAATAACTGGTTTTATTCTGGGAACTGTTTCCAATTTTTTTTATTTTTTTTTGCATATGCAAAGGAAACAATGTGTTCTAAATACTCTAAAAAACAACAACAAAACAATGTATTTAATTGGGTTTCTCAAAAAACACTGTTAAGATGCTTCCTGGCTAGATTTGGGGACAAGAAGCGTTTTTATTAAGGCAAATGATTCCATTTTCTACATGGGAACACTGTGTTCTAAATGCTCTAAAAAAACAAAAAACATTGTCTTTAATTGGGTTACGATTCCAGTATACATAGTTGGGACAGACCCTACACAGTATGTTTATCCTGGATGAAGAAATGTATCATTTTTCTAATCCAACTTATTAACTGAAGGAATAGTTCATCCAAATTCTGTCATTATTTACTTGACCAAAATTATTGCCAATTTTTTTAGTGCAAAGCTATATGTGCTTTTTGCAACTTGATGGACAAGGTCACTATGAACTGTTGTATGAAAATGAGCGGCATGGATTTTTTATTTCTTTTTTTTTGCAGAGAATAAATGACATCATATATTCTTAAAAACATTTTTCCACTGTAAAGAACCTTTTATGGAATGGAACATTTCCGTGGATGTTACAGTTTCCTTATGGAACCATCAATGTCAATAAAGAACCTTTATTTTTAAGAGTGTGAGTAAATAATGACTCAAATAATTTTCATTTTGCGGTAAAGTACTCCTTAAAACACTAAAAGGTTACCCACATGGGCTGATGAAAGCTATATTTGTCTCTGTATAGGTTGCAGACTTAAAGATGTTTCTTGGTTCACCTAATAATCATAAGCAATGCTCAGCTCAGCTATATCCTGTTTTTCCCCCTCAGTCAGGACTTCCTCCCTTGTGTGATTCAAGCAGTTTTCCCACACTTAAAATCTGATTTTGGGGGTTATTTCTCCTTCAGTGTGGTCCTGTCCACATCAAAACACTTATACCCTGTAATTATTTGTGGATTAGGTGAATTTATTTCCTCACCCTGCAGTCTTTACTACCATGTTGGAAGCACAAGCAAAATCTATTTGCAGTAAAGTAGAAAGCACTCATTGTTCTACAACACTTTGTTGAACAATCAGAGTCTCTGTTCAGACCCATCGCATTAGGAGTCTACCCAGGGCTTGCTCCTAGGCCCCTTTAA